GAGGAAGCAACAGAAACAGACCATGAAGTGGGTGTGGGTGGTCTCTAACAATGCTTCGAGCTCTAAGCACATAGCCCTTATAAGTAGTATCCTGAATAATGGGAAGCGAGCTTCCTATAATCTTCTCTGCTGTCCTCACCACTCTCTGTATGGACTTTCTATATGAGATGCTGCTACCACCAAACCAAACAGGGATGCGGTTTGTTAAAATGCTCTCAATCGTGCCTCTGTAAAAAGTGGCCAGGACAGAAGGAGAAAGATGTGCTCTCTTCATCCAACACAGGAAATACAGATGCTGGTTTACATGCTTCACTAAGGATGACGTGTGGAGGGACCAGCTCAGATTATTAGTTATCTGCACCCCTAGATACTTAATACTGTTGACCACCTCTACTGTTGGACAGATTTGTTGCTTCAGCCACTAGGTGTAAGAGTCAGCCATACATATCAACTCCAGGAAGTCCTCAATTTGACTACAACCATTCATTTAGGGACTGTTTGAAGGTATATAAGGGCACTGAAAAAGTGACAACTACAACCGTTCCACTATCCTCACAATCACGTAATCAAAATTCAGATGCTTAGTAATTGGCATGTATTTATGACAGTTGCAGCATCTCCAGGGTTATGTGATCACCGTTTATGACCTCCTCAGGCAGCTTCTGACAAGAAACGTCAATGGGGAAAACCAGATTTGCTTAACAACCACATGATTCACTTAAGAACTGCCGTGATTCTCTTAAGAACTATGGGAAAAAGGCATGGATGGGTTCTAAATTTTTTTACTACCGGTTCTGTGGGCGTGGCTTATTTTGTGGGCGTGGCTTGATGGTCATGACAATTCTTTAGGATTTAGCAGAGGTACTGGTCTACCAGGCTTTTAACTGCTTGCAGAGCTGTACCGGTCTACCCATTTATTTTTGCAGGCACCGATCTACTCATTTGTTTTTGGAGGCACCAGTCTACTCATTTATTTTTGCAGGCACCAGTCTACTCATTTATTTTTGCAGGAACTGGTCTACCCATTTATTTTTGCAGGCACCGGTCTTCTCATTTGTTTTCTTTTAACACTGATCAGCTGTAGGGCGGCCCTATGAAGCCCCGCAGCAAGAGTTTAAACAGTTTTTTTTCCCTCTAGCCAATCAGCTGGGACTCAGGAGGCAGCAAAAGATTGGGGGTGGGGCCAAATAAAAGGTAAGAATAATACAGGGGGGTGGGGGGGGCAGAACCGGTTCGGTGACATCATATTGTCACCACTACCAGTTCGGCGGAATCGGGCGGAACCCCACTGGAAAAAGGTCATATAATAGAGTGGGACTCAGCTAACAACTGCCTTGCTCATCAAAGGAAATTCTGGTCCCAGTTATGTCCATAAATTGACTAACCTGTACAGTGTTTGATGGATTATATAGCTTCCCTTGGTTTATCTAGAACACATTTTAGCTATTTAGACCAGTGGTCTCCAACCTTGGCAACTTTAAGCCTGACGGACTTCAAATCCCAGAATTCCCCAACCAGCTGGCTGGGGAATTCTGAGAGATGAAGTCCACCAAGCTTAAAGTTGCCAAGGTTGGAGACCCCTGATTTAGACTATATACAAGCTGCCCCTGATCTTCTACAATCCACAACACAGTAACTTACGTTCCTATGCTTAGACCTCACTTTGTCTTCTACTCTCCCAGCCTGTTATTCTTTCCTGGGTCCCCTTCCTCTCTGGCTCCTCCCTCCCTCCCTTTGGTGCAGACCTAAATGCCAAGAGTCTTCTTTTTTCCTTCCTAAGAAGTTCTAATATTGGTGCATTTAGCTTTATAAAGAAATCATCAATAATGCCTCAGATGTTATTTCTTCTCTGCTGCAAATGGCCCTCTTCTGATTGTCAACCCTGACGCTGACCTGGCCAAAACCATTTTTGACCCCTTCAGTGTTGCCCCACTGGAGCTGAGGGGTAGGGAGGGGGGATCCGAGATAGAGGGGATTCGGTAGCAAAAACAAATTATTTTCTCTTGAGAATCAAGGATGTTCTCACACCTGGTTGGAGGAAGATGGAGTGATGCTACCTGGCTGGCTACTCTGCACCGTGATTGGACCATGTGACTGATTGTTTTGAGAAAGTAGAAAAACTTTTAATTAGTTGAAGACCGCAGGAGGCTTCAGAGATGGTTTTCACCAGATATGTGCCAATATGATATTTCCAATAAAGCTATTCTTTGAGGAATTCACCTGCCTCGGAGTTTTGCTTGCTATGGATCTATTACTTAAAACCCTGACATTTTGTAAGCAGGGTTCTTTTTTCAAGAAAGCTGTTGTTCTCTGGAGCTTTTTCTCCTTAGCCAAAGACATCTGTGGTCCTGTTCTGCTATGGCCAAACCCCAAAGGGAAACCAAAGTGTCTCTCCAAAGTTTTCTAGGATCTCACGTGGTTCCAATTTTGGACAATCATCCATCATCCATATCATCATTATTCTATATAGAGTAGAGTAGAGTAGAGTAGAGTAGAGTAGAGTAGAGTAGAGTAGAGTAGAGCAGAGCAGAGCAGAGCAGAGCAGAACAGAACAGAACAGAACAGAACAGAACAGAACAGAACAGAATAGAATAGAATTCTTTTATTGGCCAAGTGTGATTGGACACAAAAGGAATTTATCTTTGGTGTATATGCTCTCAGTGTACATAAGAAGAATAAAATACATTCATCAAGAATAAAAAGCTATAACACTTAGTGATAGTCAAGGTTACTAATAAGCTATCAGATCATACTAGGAAACAGGAAAAAAACAATATAAATTGAAAGATACAAGCACATGGTTATAGTAATAAATGGGAAGAGATAGATACTAGAAAGGAAGAGAAGAATAATAGTAATACAGTCTTAGTAAATTATTTGACAGTCTTGTGGGAATTAGTTGTTAAGCAGAGTGATGGCATTCGGGGAAAAACTGTCCTTGTGTCTAGTTGTTTTGATGTGCAGTGCCCTATAGCATCGTTTTGAGGGTAGAAGTTAAAACAATTTATGTCCAGGATGTGAGGGGTTTGTAGATATTTTCACAGCCCTCTTTTTGACTCGTGCAGTATACAGGTCCTCAATGGAAGGCAGGTTGGTAGCAATTGTTTTTTCTGCAGTTCTAATTATCGGTTGAAGTCTGTGTCTGTCTTGTTTGATTGCAGAGCCAAACCAGACAGTTATGGAGGTGCAGATGACAGACTCAATAATTCCTCTGTAGAACTAGATTCTGATTCTATTCTATTCTATTTCTATTCTATTCTAGATTCTATTCTAGATTCTGATTTGAATCTAGATTCTGGAGTTTCCTGCACAAGAAAGCAGCATTTTCTTCTTCCTTTCAGGATCCATTTTTTGTTCTAAAGCAACCCTTCCCCTGCTATTTCAAAGCTGCCATTTCCATACTGCATTATTATTATGGCTGATCACACAGTCAGCCAGATGTTTAGACTGGATTTGGCATTTTTGAATTCTTCCCATGACCTGGGATAGGCAGATGTTGATGTTTGTTCCAAGCAAAGCTGCCTTTTGCAATTGTCAGATGGTGATTTGGTCAATAGTGTTCAAATGATGCTCCAGATGTTTTGGGATTGCACCCAAGGCACCTATTACTATTGGCACCACCTTTGCTTTCTTTTGCCACAGTTGTTCGATTTCTATTTGTAAGTCTGTGTATTTTGTCATTTTCTACAGTTCTTTCTCTTTTCTGTTGTCTCCAGGTAGTGCCACATTTTCATAATATTGATATTAAATTAGGCTGTTGGTTTGAGCTCCGAGCTTGGCAATTTGGTTGCAAAGGTTTTTTTTGTTTTGTTTTGTTTTTAAATTTGATTTATATGCCGCCCTTCTCCGGAGACTCAGGGCGGCTTACAGTGCGTTAAGCAATAGCCTTCATACTTTTGTATATTTATACAAAGTCAGCTTATTGCCCCCACAGTCTGGGTCCTCATTTAACCTACCTTAGAAAGGATGGAAGGCTGAGTCAACCTTGAGCCTTGGAGAGATTCGAACCAGCAGTAAATTGCAGGCAGCTGTGTTAATAACAGGGTGCTTTAAACCACTGTAGTACCAAGGTTTCATCACCATTCGAGGAGACATGATATTAAATTAATATTACATATCTAGAATTAGATTCACAAAGACTTGTTGAAACGTAATAACTCAAGTCCTAGCCAAGAACATAAGACATATTAAAGCATCTGAGAATGTAGACAATGCCAAGCAAAGATGTTTGTTTGTTTGTTTGTTTGTTTGTTTGTTTGTTTGTTTGTTTGTTTTTGGTAGAATTAAGGTGCTCAGGTACAATACATTCAAAATTTCCAAGTCTCAAGGGAATCCATTATGTATTTTCCCAAGAGCTCCATCACAACTAGTAATGTAACAGGAGATTTCTTTTTCCATAAGCATTCCACTTCGATCTGCAAGTCCCCCTATTTTTTGCAAATTTTCCCCCTAATTACTTTCCCTCTATCCCATCATCACCAGGTATAGCAACATGAGTGAACCAGACTTTCTTCTTTTCAGTAACTTTTATATTAGGCATGTTACAAACAAGATGTGTTTGAATGTTAAGGTCCCCTAAGTTCCTAACTCACTCTTTGCCAAAATCTTCTCAACTTATTGGTTCCAGTAGTTCTTAATACATTTAAATCCAAACCTCTGGCAAACTTTCCAATGAATAATTTCAGCAATTCGGTCATGACGTTGCTTATAGTCAGCTGGTGGAATTTTGCTACAGTCAGTGATCAATCGTAATTTATTTATTTTTTTTCTGCTACAAAGGCAATGTTTACTGTTGTTTTGTTACATGAGGAATTTTGCTTGTCCGGCAATTAGTCTGCAGAGCTTGTTCTTGAGCCACTAAAAATAAAGCCTTCCCTCCCTTCCTTGAACAGTCCTGATCTTAACCAGCATTACTTCATTATGATTATTACTTGCCTGAGCTCATGTGCATCTGTGTGCCGCTACACTGTGCATTAATCCTTTAGTTGCATGTGTTTTTTTTCCCTCCCCCTCCTTAGCTCTTAGCCATATCGAGACACACACACACACACACTCAAGCACACACACACACACACACGCATCAGCTCCATCCATCCCTCCTTTCTGGGTGTGTTAACTCCAATGTAGCTCTCACAACCCAGGGTATCTCTCTCTCTCTCTTCCCCCCCTTCTCTCTCTTCCCCCCTCCCGCCCTAGGTATGCGAAGCTGCAAGATGGTCAGAGTGGTAAGTGTTCTGGGGCTAGTGATGGTCAGCGTGGCTCTCTTGATTTTGTCCTTGATCAGCTACGTGTCCCTGAAAAAAGACAATATCTTCACCACTCCCAAATATGCCAACACGGGAGTGCCGAGAATGTACATGCTTCATGCCGGATTTAGGTGAGTGCTTGTCAAATCATACATAGATTCCCTTCCCTTCCCCCCCTCCCCCTTCCCCGAGGAAAGGCATGCTGGCGAGATGGGTAGAGGGTATGCCGGCTGAGGAAGAAGCGAGGAGGAGGGGGAGAGGGGAATATTATCATTATTATTATTATTATTATTATTATTATTATTATTATTAACATTATTATTGAATCCACGCTCCGGGATACCCCTACCCCTTTCTTCTGGTTTTTGTGCCCACCATACAATACCCCCCACCCCTCCTTTAAAATTGCTTTGTGTGGAAATCGATCGGGGAGCGTTGCTTTGGAGCTTTTGCATCAGTGGCCGGCGGGGGTAGCGGGGTGGGGTAGGGTGAGGTGTGTGGGGAGGGGGGTGGGGGGGGGTAAGACATATAATATATGATGGGCAGCTGACGGCTTGGCCGGTTCATGTATATTCCGGACGGAGGACGGACTAATGGCGCAGGCGCCTTGTTTCTTCGGCCGTGGGGGGGGAGGGAGATGATCCCGGTGTCCCCCACCCCCCACGCTGGGGAATCGCAGATACGCAGTGTTTAAATGAGCAAAGCGGAGGAAGGAAGGAATGGAGGGGGGGGGGGGGGTTATTTCTCTAATCTCCCTCGCAATTCCTCCTCTCCCATCTGCCTTCCTGGCAACGCCCGGTCGGGGGGGGGGCTCTTCCTATCTAGCCGGGCAGGAGACAAACGGAGGGTTCCTTTGTTTGACTTTTCCTTTCCTCATTGCTGGGCTTCCCCCGTGTTTTAGGTCTCCCGTTTAAAGCCGGGGGAGCCAAAGGCCAGAAAATTAGGAGAGTGTGTGTGTGATTGGGGGGGGGGGGGAAGGGTGGTTCCAGCCAAAGCGTGAGCCGGAAGTGGTGGGAATAATTCAAGCTCCTTCATTCTTTGCCTTCTTTGGGGAGCCCAAAGACACCAAATATGTCCTAGCTAAACTAGGGCAGTTTGGGAGGGTCTCTTGGCCAGTGGAACACACAGAGACACAGAGACACCCACCCACGCTCGTTGGGGGGGGGAGGGGATCGTCTTTGACATCTGTGCCACCGCCCTGTGATTTATGGCTGGGAAGAGTCAAAATTGGGCAGAGATGCCAAAAGCGGAAGAAGAAGGCGGCAACCCTCGCGCAAGGGAGGCTGAGTAGCGAGGCCACTGTCCATGGTGCTGATCGCGCCTCCGCTTTCTGCTCTTCAGGCTCCTAACGATCTGGCTATTCGTTTGGAAGGCTCCGGCTTTCAAACATTCCATATGAATATTATTGTTCCCGGTGGTTCAAAGCATCCAAAGGAATGAAAGAGGCCACCTATTAGTAAGCTTTAGTCTGCCGATCAGAGTAAACAATACCAAGCTTAACAAGGGTCCTTTTATTTTTATGGAATCTGCTGGGAAACTGCTTCTGTGATCTTTAACATTGACTTTAGCAGATAAAAGCCATTTCATAGTCAGCATTAACCATCGGGTTTATTGTAGCATCCCTTTCCAAGCTAGTGATTCCTAAATATGTAGCAACTCCCAACTTGCTCCAGTCGGTTGGGGAAGCCCGGCTTGTATATTTTCTGTGCAGAGCATTCCTTGTCATAGAGACTCACCAGAAATATCTGATCAGGTTTCTACACACAGATAGAATAGCGGGGGGGGGGGACCCATTGCATGTTCATCTAGTAGAGCTCCTGGCTATGGAAAGAATATACAGCTATATATATTCTGGCAGGTAACCATCTTCTTAATGAAAAACAGCCCACTACTATTAAGGTCTGTCTGTTTACTGTCTAATAGCTGGCACCATCAAGAAGTTGATTCTCAGGTTTAATTGAAATCCTAATTATCAAGACTGCTTCTTGTGATTTAGCATATGGTTTGTTGCCATTTGAATGCATTGGTTCAGGCCATGGGACAAGAGTAAATAATTTTATTCCATCTTCTAATGGCATTGCTATGGAGAAGTTATCATCTATGCAAAGTGATATTTTAAAGAATATTGATTCAATCATGACAGACAGATAAATGAATAAATTAGAAATATATATGCAGACTAAAGGATGTTTTAGATTAAGAGGAGGACATATGTGGTCCACCACATGTTTGAACTACATTTAACAGATTGTCTAGGCTTCTAGGAGTTGTGATTCAGTAAGAAATTGAAGTCTATATTTTGTCCACCCTTTTTTTAAAGGAAAATTTGAAATTCTCACATAACTTATCAGATATGATCATTGCATAAATTTGTGGACTTACTTTCCACAAATTTGCATGTGGGACTGTCATGTATTATTTTATATTAGGACTAATATCCCATATTTCTGACCAAAGTACTCATATAATTTTCAGTTGGAAGTCAATCTTACCTACATTCAGATGTTTAAGGAAAGTAACTATGGAACCAAACTTTATTTTCAATATATTGTTGATTCATAATCAGTTAAATTCATTTTGACAAGTTTTTATTCATGGGTGGGTTTTTTTTGTTTTGTTTGTTTGTTTTTCTGGTTGCTAATGTTATATTATAAAGGCAAGTGATGCCTATGAATAGTCATTTTGCTTGCATTTCATGAAAATTTAGTAAAGTATTCCATTGAAATCAAAGAATTTGCACAACCTTTAGAAAAGTTATAATTTTTATAAGCTTGAACCAATTTTTGGAAACTGCTGTGTAAATATCAATCAACAACAGAAAAGTCCTATGTTCCTGAATCTGGAAGGTATCAGAAATTGGGGATTATATTTCTCACAATCTCTACTTTCTGGTACAAAATAATGGAAATTGTAGCTCAATATCACAGAATTTAATTCTGCTTTTTGGAAAGTTTCTGTTCCCCATTTAGCTGCTTGTTAGCTTCATTTCTTCCCTTCCCTCTTGATTTTCCAGGGATTCCTTTCAGCTTAAACCATTGTTTATCTTTGGACAATCGCTTAAAATCTCCAATTCTTGGTTTAATGGGATGGGTTTTTTCCCCCTTTTCCTAATGATAACGTTCATGAATGCTTTCAATTTAGATGCATACAAGTCAACATTCAAAGAATTGACAATGTGATTAATCTCTGCAACAGAGGGAATCTCAGAAACATAATTTTTTCAAGGAAGGGAACAAACCGGACAGTGAAATGAAAGACAGAATTAGGAGGTATTAAACAAAAAAAGGGCCTGGAAGTAGAGAACATATCGTTAGAGAGCAGATACTCATGGAAAACTAGACGGAAGAAATATTGGATCTTTGAAAAGAGAGATTAAAAAGTGAGCTTAGAGAAGAGGAAGAACAGGTCAAAAGTGCAGCACTATAGAAGTCATTTGCGATAGATGATAGAGAGAGATGATAGATAGATAGACATAAACTTTTAAAGTCTAGCCTCCATGGACTCATATACTTGTCTCTCTTCCAAGTACTAACCAGCTTGGCTCTTTGGAGATCAATAAAGTTTGGTTAAGTGCTGTGGAATACTCAGAATCATGAAGTATCCATATTACAGGAAAAAGAAGAAACCCCCAAAACATATCGAGGTGATGGGATCTGCAGTTACGGTTTCAGGAATTCGGAATTGAATTGCTAAACTATTCTGATTCCCTTTTCAAACTAATCACGGCGTACAATTTTTATAGTTAAGGCAACCTAATTATAATATATTTCCTGGCAGCTGGGCTGTGAAAAGGGTGATCATATTTGGAATACAGGTAGTCTTCGACTTATAAAAGTTCATTTAGTGATCATTGGAAATGACAACAGCCCTGAAGAAAGTAACTTATGACCGTTTTTCACACTGACAATCGTTGCAGTATCCCCATGGTTACTTGATTGAAATTCTCACAATTGGCAACAGACTCGTATTTATCATGTTTGCACTGGTCCCGGGATCACATCGGGGTGAAATCCAGCAGGTTCTGACAGGTACTGGAGGACCGGTAGCGGAAATTTTGAGCAGTTCGGAGAACCAGCAAATACCACTTCTGGCTGGCTCCAGAGTGGGGTGGGAATGGAGATTTTTGCAGTATCCTTCCCCTGCCATGCCCACCAAGCCACACCATGCCCACCAAGCCACGCCCACAGAACCTGTAGTAAAAAAAATTGGATTTCACCACTGGATCACATGATCCCCTTTTGTGACTCTCTGACAAGCAAAGTCGAAGGGGCAAGCCAGATTCACTTAACAACTGTATTTCTAATTTAACAACTGTAGTGATTCACTTGACCGTGGCAAGGAGGTTGTAAAATGGGACAAAAATCCCTGAACAGCTATCTCGCTTAGCAACAGAAATTTTGGGCTCAGTTGTGGTTGTAAGTGGTTTCCTGCCTAAGCAGGGGGTTGGACTAGAAGACCTCCAAGGTCCCTTCCAACTCTGTTATTTTATTCTAAGTCAAGGACTACCTGTGCTTCCCTCTGGGAAATGAAGACCTTCCTCCCTATAGAAAAATAGCCTTTCTAACAAGCTGCTCATTTGAAAAGCAAATCAGTAATTCCCACCCATCTGAACATGGTTAGATGTTGAGAGCCATACATCAGAGAATGTCTTCTTCTAATCGACAATGGTGATAAGAGTGAGTAGAAATGATAACATCCTTAATTTGGCCCTTTATGTTGGAAATAGTTTGACTGATTGCATAAATATGGGATCTGTTTCAGGTCACAGTTTGCTCTGAAGTTCCTTGATCCTTCCTTTGTACCCAACACAAATTCCTTGAATCAGGAGGTGCAGGACAAGTCACCCAAGTGGAAATTCAACAGAACGGCATTCTTACAACAAAGGTGAGGGGGAAAAAGTGAAAAGTGATGTTAGGATCAGGACGATTCTAGATTTGGGGTAAATCTACCCTAAGGCTAGTTTTTAAGCACGGCCACTTGGCAACAAACAACTGTGCCCTGGAACGTTGTCAAAAAATATCCAACATCTGTATCAGTGTCCTAGAGAATAAATGTCCCAAATATTGAGATGCATTCTATGTCCGCATGTATGAAACACTCATTTACCACCAGGTATTTTGATTGTCTCTCAAGTCATTTGAGGTTGAGAGATGAAGGGATCATTTGGGGACACTAAATTGGATATCTTGCTGTTTTAAATTATATGAACTAAGCCAAGATGTGCTAAGAAGGAATGAGGTTGTAATTTTTCCTGCCAAGAGTATACAAGATACAGTGCAAAGAAACCACAAAGAAATGGTATAGTGGGCTAATTTTATTCTTTTTTTAGTAGTTTTGCTCCCTGTACATTTAAAATAGGTCAGGTTGTACCAAGACTCTAAATCAGGGGTGGGGAACAATGGCCCTTTTGACTTGTGGACTTCAACTCCCAGAATTCCTGAGCCAGGAATTCTGGGAGTTGAAGTCCACAAGTAATAAAAGGGCAATCATTCCCCACCTCTGCTCTAAATTTATGGAGACTTCCGGTTTAGCCATCTGTCCCAGGATGGTATTATCATGCACTGTACATTAAATGCATCGGTGAAGACACAAATACTACCAAATAGAGTGAAGCAACTGCAAGACAATTAAAGAATAAATGCAATATAGCTATAATTTAATTGAAGAGTAATATATAAGTAACTAGAACAATAAAACAGAGTGAAATTGCATGCTTCCTCCACCTGTCATGTCCACAATTCCTGGAGAATTAATTTGCCTTAATGAAGTCTCTGCCACTATATACCTAATACTAACTTGCCAAAGCAGTCAGAAGGCTACCCAGTCTGAATTATATCAGGGGTGAAATCTAAAATTTTTTGCTACCGGTTCTGTGGGCGTGGCTTAATTAGTGGGCAGGGCTTGGTGGTAAGGTGACTGGGTGGGCGTGGCCAAGTCAATGTCACTTCTTTGCCCTTTTTTAACCTACAAAACACAACACAACACAACTGACTCACCCACAATGTAAAAGCAGCTGTGCTAGACTCAAAATGGCCCCGCAACAAGCAGGAACCTCACACATCCACAAAAAGCCCAAAAAAACAACTTTCACACTTTACACACACACAACACAACACAACACAACTGGCTCACCCACAATGTAAAAACAGCTGTGCTAGACCCAAAATGGCCCCTGCAACAAGCAGGAACCTCACACAGCCACAAAAAGCCCAAAAAACCAACTTTCACACTTTACACACAGAAAATTCCACATACAGCTTTGTGAGATTTTGTGTGTTTGTGTAGTTAGAGTGAAACACTACAGAAACACACTAAATCTCAGAAAGCTGCACAAATATTATTTTATTTTATTTTATTTTTATTTTTATGTAAAAGCAACTAAATTTAAAACTTCCCAAATTTTAAATGGCTAGGTCTAAAAAAAAGAACAACTAAAAAAAACCCAATTAACTATTTTTTTAAAGCTCCCAAAGGGGAAAAAAACTTACCCAATAGAACAGGGGTCTCCAACCTTGGCAACTTTAAGACTTGTGGACTTCAACTCCCAGAATTCCTCAGCCAGTTTTGCTGGGAGTTGAAGTCCACAAGTCTAGGCAGGCAGGCAGGCAGAAAGAGCTGCTCACCAATGAGCTTGATTGCAGGCAGGGAGATTCAGTTGCTTGCTGATGCATGGATTTCGATTGTCATGCAATCAGCAGCTAAGGTAAGCAAGCTGGAGGTGGGGGGGGGGGGGGTGAGAGAAAAAAAAGAAACTTTTTTTTCTTTTACATGGCTCTGGCGATCCAAGCTGAGTTGCCTGATTAGCAGGCAACTCAGCTGGGATGTCAGAGCTTGGCTGGTCAGAGCCATTTAAAAGGAAAAAAAGGCTCTGATGATCACGGGGTTCAGCTGGGCATGGGGGGCGGGGGCAGGGATTTTTGCTACCGGTTCTCCGAACTGCCCGCCGCCATCGCTACCTACTCGCCCGAGCCGGTCCGAACCGGGAGCATTTCACCCCTGAATTATATTTATTGAAGTTATCATTGTTTCAGAATGAGATGGTTTTAAAGGAGAACTCAGTTCAGCCTTTAGGGCTGGAATTGTGTAAGAAGCAATAGTCCACAGCACTGTTTCTTAAACTTAACAACTTTAAGATGTGTGGACTTCCACTCCCAGAATTCTCCAGCTAGCATGCAGACTAGTTGCGAAGGTTGAGAGACATTGGTCTTGGAAGATTGGGATAATTTACTTCCTTCTCCATAGCTTTTATTGCCCCAATGTTTCTGCTAGTATGACAATGTAGCTACTCAAACTTGTGGTGGCAGATTCTGGGGTTAACTGGCAGGACGCCCTGCTAATGGAAGTATTTCTCAATCTAATCTATTTTAGCCAGTTTATTGTTCAGCTTAGATGGCACTGTAAAAAAAACAACCCGATCAAGATTCTTGGTATAATCAGTGTTTAAAGATTCTACTTGTAATAAATCCTGGTTAAAAAGATAAAGATAAAGGTTCCCCTCGCACATATGTGCTAGTTGTTCCCAACTCGAGGAGGCGGTGCTCATCTCCGTTTCAAAGCCAAAGAGTCAGCGCTGTCTGAAGACATCTCCTTGGTCATGTGGCCGGCATGACTAAATGCCAAAGGTGCACGGAACACTGTTACCTTCCCACCAAAGGTGGTCCCTATTTTTCTACTTGCATTTTTTATGTGCTTTCGAACTGCTAGGTTGGCAGAAGCTGGGACAAGTAACGGGAGCTCACCCCGTTACACAGCACTAGGGATTCGAACCGCTGAACTGCCGATCTTTCAGCATCTTAGCCACTGAGCCACCGCATCCTGGTTAGCTTTGACTATAAAATCAGTGGCTCCCAAATATTTTTCAGCTTTCAATACCATGAGGAGAATTTTTTTTTTCAAAGAAGAGAGGGAATATGGGAAATATGAGCCATCCCTTCGCAATCTATTCATTCTTTAAATCTCTGTAATAATGTGTTAATCATTAGCTAACAGAGAGCCAGGATTACTGCTACCCATGTTGAGTGAAATACATGGATTCCCACCTAGCCAGAAATTACCTATTTTGTTCAAATAATCAAGCTGTTTCAATATTGCACTGTTTTAAATACAATTTTGGAGTGATGGAGATGGGAATCAAATAAAATGAAATGGGATGGAAATAGCTTCAGTTCTGTGTAAGAAGAGTAGATATGTTAACAGTTGATTTGATTACATTTTATTCGGTATTGCACAGAAGAGAAGCTAGATGGTGGATTATATAGCTTTAAAAATTGGAATGGAAAAGAAATGCAATGGAATTTGGGTGAGGTATGTTATCAACTCAGCTTCCATTCTAATATTCTAGATAGGATAGACACAAACACAGTATAAAATTTCATTAAAGAAGCAACAGTCCATTCAGCTTCAATTTCATTATAGAATTTCTCCATCAAGAGGGTCACAATGCCATATTATTTCCAGGGAACCATACCGCAACTTTCTTTATACTGTTATATCCAGAACAGGTTTTTAAAAAGAAGAAGAAATATCTTCTTCCTATCAAGAATATTAATTTCATTATGAATAATTTAAGTTTTGTTCTATGTGTTAGTAAGAGAGGGGGGAAAAAATACCCCATTCTCAGTATGCATTCAACAAATTCCCTAAATAGGCAATACAGTTCATATTATATTACTCTTAAAAGAAATCTCCTTTCTTCCCCTCATAATTGCCTGAAAGGAAGATAACTGTACTTAAAATAACCCACTCCCAAATGAATATTAAGCAGGAAAAAAACCAGATAATCTCCCTCTGTTACTGTGCTATTAAAACTGAACTATCTTTCCATTTTAAAACTAATTTATTTGGAAGTAAAATTGGACTATCTTGTCTTGTCAGATAAATATAATATCGTTTTTGTACTTTTACAGATAAAGCTGAAAGATTGGCTTTCAAATACAAACTCTGTTATATCAAATTCAGTACGTTTATACTTAATGTCTGTGTAATATGTAATATGTAATCTGCAATATGTAATATTATTAACATAGTATATGTCAACATAGTTTGATGTAGTGGTTAAAATGTTGGCCAACATACCACATTATGAATTCTAATCCTCTTAAGCAGAGGTCTTCAAACTTGGCAGCTTTAAGACTTGTGGACTTCAACTCCCAGAATTCTCCAGGCTGGAGAATTCTGGGAGTTGAAGTCCACAAGTCTTAAAGCTGCCAAATTTGAGGACCCCTGCTCTTAAGTATGAAAGCCAGCCGAGTAAGTTTGGGCCAGTCCCACTCCCTTAGCCCAACTCACCTTACAAGGATGTTGTTGTGGGGGGGTGGGGGAAGGAGGAGGAAGGAATATTAGATATGTTCATCACCCTTGAGTTACTTATAAAGTAATAAGGATGGAATAAATATCTAATAAATAAATAAAAATAAATCACAGCTATGTGTTCTGAATGATTTTCAGAATTCTCTTCCAGAAATTTGCTGCCAGATCCTAGGTTCCTAAATACTTGATAATCTGATGCTAATCAGAACTCCTGTTGACTGACAAGGGGCCCATTTCCTAGGCTTCCATCATTTCCCTGGCTATTTTTGTACCTGCTCAGCCAACAATCTCAGTAGCTGCAAAATTGAAAGTATGTCCTTGTTCATTGAAAAAAAAAATCAACAACCAACAACTTAATAGCTGGCCATCAATACCCTAATCAACAAATAAAAAAACCACACACAACCAGGCATCACATAAATACTACACATAGAGTAGCCCAAAAGCATATATTCCAGCAGAGAGAAGTTTATTTATTTATTTATTGGTTCAATTTATATGCCGCCCTTCTCCAGAGACTCAGGGCGGCTTACAATGCGTTAATAGCCTTCATACTTTTGTATATACCTGCTTAG